TACGGTCTCAGTGTTATTGCTTGTATTGTACCGTCGTTGACCGATCGATTCCGTTCAATCAACGACGGCATAAAAAAGTTATACTCGTCGCAGAAGAAGTGGCTTTGGCTGCTTAGTGGTCTCGTAGACATCGTTCTGGCATTTGAAGTAATCGGTCCCGAGTTTGTGTCCCAGTGGGAACAAAACTTACTTGGGTCCAGTTACGTCATGCTGACTAGTCCCAAATAAGATGAAACGGATGTCCTGGATTTCACTGCTAGCCACAATCCATTATTAATATATGCCAACTTATTATTCGGTAATTTGTGACCATTCTTTATTTACTTTCTAGTGCAATCACTAAATATGTAAAAGAATTTCTTCAACATATCATATGGGTTGCATTCGTTTAAATGAATAAGTAAAATTTTCGGTGATTAAGCTGTACCCGTCGCACAAAGAATGAATATCTTGACTCAGTGGCCTAGTGGATAACCCTCTGATGTTTAAGGTGATTGGTTTTAAGTTCAAGTCTCAGTGAACAGGACATTGCTCACTAGGAGGCTGGTACATCCAAATGACGAAACCCAAATAAGTTGAAACAAGCATCCTAGATCCCACTACCAGCCACTAACCATCATTAATTCTAGATACTTTTCAAACGGCTAAAATCAAAGCATCTAGTCTATTTCTTAAGGATTTATTGGCTGTTTACTTGTTTCTATATAAATGTTGATTGACTACCTGTTAAATTTAGGTCAGATTATAACTAATTTCATCTTGATCATATCTTCTTGAGTAAGTGACACTTGTACTTCACTAATAAGCTCGAGTCTGGACTTGTAGTAAACAGTGCATACACTGTCAATTGACATTAAATTCGGTGTGCTGTTCTTCCTTCATCTGTACCTTAAAATATCCGTCACCATTAGATGACAAAGAGCCAAAACTGTATCCAGCAACAAGGTGACCTATAGAGTGTAGCTAACTATATGGGCACTATTTCATCTCTAACGCCTATGTCAGTTTATAATAGAAACAACAACTTAAGAAATATACGCTACACATAGTTTCCAAGTTTATTTTGTAAAACAGTAATGACCAACGCTAATCACTTTTTCAAAGATAACTACTGATAGATTTGTAGATTCTATTAGTAGTATTTTAAAATAGTTTTTATAGATATTGATTCCAACAATAAAGGCATTGAACATCTGTTCCTAGAGTTTCTAGGAAACCCTATAAACTCAGTAGAGTACACCTACACAGTGTTTGGGAATTGAACTCAGAAGACAAATATTTCAAATAAAGGATATTAAGTTTTTACATATTAATGTTGAAGTAAAAGACAAATTGGTTGTAATTTTATAAGAAACTGTAGTTATACTGAGCTTTACTTGTTTTACTACTGTTGTTTGATTACATTGTTTAGAAAGTCCCCATATCAAAGTAATGAATGTACCGAATATCTTTGGCAACATCTAGAAAACCCAATATTGTATGTACTACTTAGGATGCAAAAATATTCTATAAACACAAGATAATCTGATAGTAAATATCCTTCAATACAATTTTATTTCTCTTTAGAGCTTTTCTATAGACTTTTACTTAACAATACCGACGAAAATAAAATGAACAGCACTGTTGTTTGATGACAGAAAACTTCACAACTGAAATCTTACTTCATGCATTATTAGAACTTGTTGATGAATACGAACATCCTGAACCTTGAAGAATAAAAAGAAACAACTTGGTATTTTTGATGTGTGTATTGTTTCATCTTTGTTTCATGAGGAAGGTTGATAAATGAATACTGGGGTTTGATAATAATAATAATAATAATAATAATAGTAGCTTTGTTACAAACAAGACTTATAGTGTAGTATGGAGTTCTTAGCCAGTAACAGTTCAAAGAATTCATTCCCTGTACAATATCTTCAAGCGAAAGAATCATTGCATTTGACTAATATCAGTGATAACAGTAATAAAAGCCTTGGTGTGAAACAGGTATCTGGTATTACATCGGTATCAGGTTTAGACTGGCGAATGAACATCATATAGAACATAATTTTGGTGGTGATAGTTTATTTGGTCAGTATCAAAATCTACAATTCGATATGATTATCCAAAGAAAATTAATATAGTATGTTTATTTGCATTTATGAATCCATGTCTTTACTGGAGTATTCTTTATTCTTTCTTGTGCTATTACCTTGGAAAAGTGTACGAGAGCACTTGACGTGCTTAGAAGACATTTAATAGACTAGAACAAACTAAAAAGGTGCATTAAATGAAACAAATACCGTCGAAAATTTTCACTAGCCCAAAGTTTAGGCAGATCACCTTATGCAGTCAAAACGCTTAACACTGAAAAATAGATTCTAGAAAAGGACAGTTTAAGCAGTCAGCGCGTGATGGTATATTGTCTATCCATTATCAAAAGATATCAAAATCTCTACTTAGATATTTAGTGGCTTCTAATCCCTTAAAATTAGTTAACATTTATGTGAAAACAGTTTGTCATTAACGTTGTCATCTAGTTTGGATATTAATATCCACTTACAAGAATTCCTTCTTATACCGTGAAATCAGGAACTTCACTGTTCGATTAGTATTTATTATTTACTTTGCTAAACTGATTTGATGGATTGCTAGAACAAATCTCTCGGTGCTGCTATATATATATCATTTCTACATTGTTTAAATACAAGTGTTTGGCAGGGGAATCCAAGATTGACGCTGTTTCTATTCTTTCGGTCCACTAAGATAAACTACGAAACAACACAAATACCTTTAAATAACAACTAATACATATGTCATGATAGTCATGTGACTCGAGAATTTAACTGAGAATGTTATGATATTTCTGTTGTTGAGTGATAGTTTCAAGTCTCATGAAGAACACCATTACTCAATGAGATCCGGGTACTATATGTTAAAAAGTCCGCAACAAAATAGAATAAACAGTTTTAAACTCAATGGTTATCCATAGCCAACTACACAACATCCTCTACTTAATGTTTTGTAGTTAACATACCAACGGCATACAAGACAGCTCAACATTCATGCCTCTTTATAAGACACTCTTCATGCAAGAACCTAATTTATTTTGTTCATGAGATGCATTAGTGTAAACTGTACTGAAACATTCTTATCTTTATAAAATATCTACTTTGAAACGACTGATGAAAAACATTACGTGTCTCACTTTAGTTACCTTATCGAAGGTAGGTTATAGGATGTAGATAAGCACCCTATCAACTTATATGTTTATGCTAATGACAGTCACTATATGACAAGATTATAGATGAAGGAGGTGAAACGTTGAAACCAAATTCATCACGGAATGATACACCACACATTTCCGCTTGTTATGTTTGCCTTGACAGTCAAGAATCAAAATTAAGTGCTCTTTCTGTATCTTATCATGGTCATCAAAACTAATTATGATCGGAATGTTTATTGGAATTTATTTAATGACTCTAGGTTGGTGCTCATCATGGACTGATACCAATTGGAGAAGCACTGGAAACGTTGAAGCACATGAAAGTTGTGTCATCCAGATGTAGGACTCCTCTATAATGCGTACCCATAACCCTGCCAGGGATCGATCGTAAGTGACTTACTTCAAGAAGTGATTTCCAGAAATTCTAATACGTAGTCATGACTGAGGACAGTTACTGAGCGATGGGATTGGATTGATATTATGGTATTTCATGGGCTGAAGTTAAACCCATCGGTTCGAAGTTATGGTGTTGGCCACGGAATCTGAATGCCCTGGGTTCGATCCCTGGCAAAGTCATGGGTGCGCAATGCTGAACAGTCTCGTACTGGGCCTAAACGGCTATCTAGTGTTCCCGGATCCCCAGTGTTCCTCCAAATAATATAAGTCTGTGGCGAATATCAACAAAAGGAATAAATAGATTAGATAACTTTTCTAATTTTATGCTTAACACTTAGTTGATAGGTCTTGATTCGAATATGTTGTATATGTGAGTAAAGTTCGTCAAAAAGCCTCAAATAAAAACTGATATTGGAAACAGGAATGACTGTATCTATAAAAGGAAATCAATCTTTCTTAGGACATAGTCATATGGTATTTGAGGCACTACAAAAGCTGAATGAAAAATAAGCCTATGGGTAATTTTTTCGCTTTTGTTGCATAAATTCATTGTGAATCGAAACATTTTCTGAAAATTTTGTTAGACGAATAGTAAAAGACACTAAAACAAGCCTTGAAAATATGTTAACTGACAAGTTAAGTCTCATGATCTTTTCAACAGTTCATTAGATATCGCTAACATCCATCAGTAACTAACATAATTTGGAGAATTACTAAAAGTCTGCGAAGACTTGTCAGTTGTTTCAGACTTCTGTAGAACTCCGCAGACGTGTGCAACCGTAAACATACCAATGATCAAACTTCGGACCTACAGATCACATGATGAAAATGTTACCATTGAGCCACCAATTCAAAGAGCAACAATTCACATATTCCTACTTCTGGCATTCCTACATATCGAAACCATTCTGATTATCTGAGATAGCCATGGTTTGGCGGACTAGTATTAATATTGGGTGATAATCGAACGTGACATAAAAATTTGGACTACAGCCGGATACCAACGAGCGACTACCGTGTTTCCGGCCCGATTCTGTACTAACTAAGCTACGAGGTTCAACTGCTGACCGGAATGTGAAGTGAAATAAGAATCTGGTCAGCGGTTGAACCTCATAGCTCAATTAGTAGAGCATCGAGCCGGAAACCGATGATCGCTGGTCTGAACGCGACCACGGTGCAAATTTCCATTTCACCTTGAATCATCATTCAGTATAAATACTAGTCTGTCAAACCACGACTACCTCAGATAGTCAAAACGATTTCGACTTATAACGTGATCATAACTCATTGTTCTCCAGATAATATCAATTGATATTGAAAACTACTTTGAATTATTTATGACGTTTAAATAATTATCTTTCATTGTTTTTCCTTTTCTACTTCATAACACTACATACAGATGAATTAATTCAAAGCCTTGAAATGTTGAAAATATCACTGAATCGAACATTGTGCTCATATGAATTATTGAAGAATAAAAAAGATAATTCACAAAGTATTCTATCTAATCGTACATGGAGTTGCTGGCAACATACAATGGAATTAGTTTCCAAGTTTAGCTTAGTGTTAGACCAGTCCTTTTTAACACAAGATGATATTATCTTGGATTTAATGTTTCCTGTCGATAACTTTTTAATGCAGTCATTGTTGGAGACATCTTGTCAGATGCATATTACAGATGCAAAAAATATTCAAGCTGAAGAATTGGATGAAAAAATAAAGTGAGTTTGCGTTTTAGTTTATTTGGTGTTGTTTCTAACAATGGAAGTTAAAACCCGCATTTCGTTCTATTGAGGACTTTTCAGCTGGATGTAGCTAAACCCCAGTGGGTGATATTGTTCCCACTGAAGTGCTAGCCCAGTAATCATCGTTTCAAATGACAAAGTGTTATCCAATAGACTGGTGATACACTACGTCACATTTATTATGTTTCATTTTTGTTTATCATCAGGACTGTTTGCCTTGTATTAAACAACAATCCATCTTAAAAGACAGTTGTCATACAATAAGTAGTAAGGTTTCAACAGGCTATAAAATACCTTTCGCTCTAGTATTTGAAAAGATGGGTTGACGGTCCAAGTTTCAGTGGGGACAGTGTCACTCATTGAGAGGTAAATATACCTGGCTGATAAGTGCTAAATCGTACGAAACGTGCGTGTTGGATTCCATTGCTAGGCACTATCACCACTGATTAGTTTCACCTACGCTGTCTTCCTTGTTGAACTTATTGGACAATGGGCTACAACAAAGGAGAACTTATATTAGATTCCCTACACTTAAGTAAAAACTGACCGATGGAAATATCATACACAGTTCACAAAAGTTTTCAAATATTTCTAGTCTCTTAATATTCATAGAAGGACAGATTACGTAATCATCGAGTGTCACGGACAGAAAGTAACCATACAACTAGCTATTTAAGTTCTGTTAGTGGTCTCTATATAGCAAAAAAAAGCATGCTGCTGACACTGGAGTATTATAAGTTGTTTTTTTTCAATACCAGCCATTGGGCGATGCGATGGAGTGTAACTTCATCTCAATAGGTTTTTTTCGGCAGATATATCACACAGTGAAAAAATAATTTTGCCGGCATATCTAAAGACTCATTGGTCGTCAGCTATCAATAATATTTCCTGATTTCTATCTTTAATGCTAGAAATATTAATTCCAACAGTATTCTGCTATGTAGAAGACGATACAACCATCTGTTTAGTGTTATTTAGAAGATACAACATATTCAGAAAGATAGTCTTCACTAAATATGAATAGCATTTTTCATTCCACGCTCACAAAGGTAGCAAGAACATGAAGAGGAAACTGTTGAAGTAGCTTCCAATGAACATATCTCCTTCTTTATAACGAACCTTTTACTCGCTGACACTGAAGGTAACGGATTTTCTTTAAATTGACATCACGATAGTAATAATAATAACAACCCGGTTTATGTCTACTGTTTCCTTTGAAGTACTGCTGAAATTTGCTAATGAAAACAAGATATTCTATTGATATTTTCAAGTTGCAAGGAGACAAACAGAAAGCTGTTTAACTAGATTTCATGGTTGTAAACGGTAATCAGCAAGCTTTACCGGAAACATTGACGTAACAGCCACTTTTTGTCAGATCCTAAATTAGGGCAACGAGTGTCGCAGTTATAGAATTCCCTAATAAGCTATCAGAATCATTCTTTTTGACTAAAACTAGACCAGTTACATTGTTCAGGAATTTTTTATTTGGTGGCAGAAATGATTATTTGGTATACAAAAAATCTGAATCTGGATTTACAGTACTAGATTGAAACATAGTTTAAACTTGGGACCTGGTATTACTGTGCAACAGGTCAAGCTGCTTCACTCCATATCAGCACATTAAAAGACAATGATGCATTAGGACGAAAAATTAAAAAAATAAGGGAGAAGGCAGTCAAAAATTAGTAGAAAGTCATGAAAAGAGACCTAGAAGAAACAAGACAAGACTGAAATTCGACATGACAACTGACGTTAAGATAAGATGGGAATAAATCTACTGCACTGACTTGAGTGTTAGTAAATATCCTTATCCTGTGGTTATCGAAATGCATATCCTAGTGAAAATTTATCTCAATTTGAATACTTTCATGGCTTTACGCAAAATCATTTGTCCAGTTGTATTTAGATCTTGTCAATCAGACAGAGATTGTCTCCCTTCAAAATTTATCAAAATCTCTGAGGTATTTCAAGCCCTAAAGTATGAAATAGTTAAGTTTTACAAATTTTGATGTATAGGTTTTCGGAGCATGATGATGATACTTTAAAATTTCATACATTTTGTAAATCTATTTAAAGTTGTATAGTCCACTTTGATATTTTTCATTACTCAGTAGTTTTTAAAGATACTCATCGAGGTTTTTGCTAGATTCTATCCAGCCATATCCAAAAGGGATAATTACCTGACAAAATGTGCTACTTGAAAAATAAATAGTATGAAGGCACTTACAAAAGAAACTACTACTGAACAAGTTGAGTACTTCAAAACCATTCAAGCCGGTTTACATTATTTCAACAGGCAAATCAGTGTGATCTAAACATAAGACGGCTGCTTCCCTCTTTTGCAGTTGAGCTAGCCAGTGGATAAATTCAGCCCATAGTGCTCAATTAGTTCAAATCATCTGTAACTGACTAGTTGACTTTCATGAAGGAGTACAATTAAAATAAGTTGTCCAATTGTAATATCTTCCTCTAGGTCATAACACTTTTGTGTGAGAGATTACATCTTGTTATGTCAGCTGAGTGGTTCCCAGCGGAAACCCTGTTGGTACCAAATTAGTTGCGAACTAAAAGCACTTATACTGATCTACAGATTTCAATACTGTTATCAGAGTGATCTAATCAAAGGATAGTTGTTTTACTCATTCGGAAATGAGTTCATTAGTAATGCTGCCGTACTAACTCATTTCTTAGGGAAGTCAAACTACTCCGGTTAAATGACTAGACTAGTATACAATAAAACGTATGATTACTTTTTTAAATTACTGACACATTTCGCTGTCAACATTTGTGGTTCTCAAAGCTGAAGCGAAGAACTGTGATTTCAGCACAATTTCTATCAGAACCATTTGTGAAGAAGATTTCCCTGGATAAAACGCTGATAATCCCAATTCAAAGCATTCAACCAGCTTCTGAGATATTGAAATCTTTTCCCTCAGAAAGTTGGTGAGAATGAATTGTGACTACGCATATTATTCATCAGTATTTTAGTGTAATTCATGGGATTGTACAATACTTATTCTGGAGTGACTTTAAAGGCCACGTTAGAAACTCTTAAGATAACCAATAATAGGTGTGTATTTTATACAAGTCTAACGTCCTAGCCGGAATACCGAAACTTGATTAACTGTTTTAACAGCTGTCAGGGTGGCCTTTAAAGTTATCCCTATTCTGGACATTGTTCTAAAGGAAAAGTCTACGATATGCACTTTGCATAACTTCGATCCAATTAATATACCAGATTACTGCTATGTATACATTCAAAGTCTACAAGGAAGGCGTAGTATGTGTCGTAGACCAAAATGAGCTGCTAAAGTTAGTCGTCAGTTATCATTCTGAATAACATACTTATGACAGCGAATTCAATCACTGTAAATCAGCGCTTAATTTCATTACAAACTGTTTTGAAGGCTTTCTACTACTAATCCAATATCAATTACTCTGATAAAACTTAATTGTCAGCGAAATTAGTATTAACTCAGCTTCAACATTTAGATACATGTTAAGATAGTTGATACTGAAAAGTTTTCTAGAATAATTTAACACTGGTTAAATATTCATTTATCTGTCTATACTTGGACTTTGTTCTGTAAACTAATCAATAAAAGTAATATATCCAGGAGGAGAAAATTCTTCAGTCATATCTATAAACACACAGGTGCTTATATAATAATAATAATAATAATTTCGCAGCTAATTAATTTTATGATAAGTTGAATTGACAAGCAGCATACTATGCTACTACCTTTTTTATTATAATCACTTCTGAACAATATTTGCTGTTGTTCGTGTTAAAGGTTTTGTCTTCTTGAGTGAATATATATATAGCAAACATCTATACACCGTGTGTATGCATTGCATCATTGAATATTTTATCGTGGAACATGATAAATTTCAGTCTTTGAAAGAGCAATTTCCTCTATATATCGATTACTTTTTTTTCAACGAAATTATGAATACGATATGAAAGTAGGTATTTCTATACACTAATGGTATGTGAACAAAAGTTAAAAAAATAGGACCTTCTTGGTATGTAGTTTGTTCTTACTTGAAATACTAAGGGTAAGTGTTTTACACATCAAAAATGTCTAATTATGAATTAATATCAGTTTTAGTGCATAGACGACGATGTCAAAGTCAGAATCGGAAAAGCAAGAAAGGTGTTCATTAGCCTGAAACCAGTGTGAAGATCTGTTTCTTTGCACTCAGCATGTGGAATAACATCCGGATTTTCAACACCAAAGTCAAATCAGTGCTTCTGTATGACATAGAGACTTGAAGCGTTACGAAAGTGATTTCCAACAAACTACAGACAGACATTCATCAACAACTGCCACCTACACTCACTCCTTACTGAAGCTCAGATGGCCAGAATAATGAGAATAAGTAACAGTGAACTCTGACTGACTGTCAACGAACCAACCGAGAATCTTTCGCTGAACAAGAATGGAGTGTAAGTAATTGGAGATGGATTTGATTGGGCATACACTGAGAGAGCCTATTGGGGACATGAGGCAGCGGGCGTGGTCGTTGAGTGTAAGCGAGATGGGAGACGACGAGTTGGTCGTGTGAGTTGAGGGTGACATGGAGGAGATTGTGCGAGGAGTGAATGAGATGTTGTTGGGAGTCGTTGAGGCAGTTTGAATAGACTGGAGATGAGAGAGTGTACTGGAGACGTGGTACTGAATCCCTATGTTCCATTAGTAACCAGAGACAAATAATAAATAATGATCAGTTTTAGTCGTAAAGCCTACAGGCAGTCAATATGCAAGTGATAGGTAATGTTGAAGTCTAGACATAGTTAATAAAAACGAGTGGAACTTAAAAGCTGTGGATTCACAACTTCCTGAGATAGCAGTTTTTGTTTCAACCTCTGGTTTCACTTCATTATCTAGGACGTACTCTTAAGAATAAACCTATTTCATCAAAATGTTATGAAATTCATGTAATGGTTGACAAAATGCAAATAGGATGAAACG